GCCAACCCCTACCCATCCATTCTATACATTTTATCTTTTAGACATTTTCAAAATGTATTCCATTTTCTCTACTCCCACTGCTGCCACTCTCACTCAAGTCATCAAAAGAACCTACTGGGCCACTGTAAGAGCCTCCTACAGGTCTTCAGATGTCCACACCACAAACCATTCTACAGTCAGTACTTGTTGTCAAATGTACGTTTGCTCCTCTCATCACATCTATGCCCCACTTAAAGCCCTTCAACTATATCTCACTACTCTGAGGACAAAGAACAAACCTTAATACAGCTCGAAGGCCCTGTCGCACATGGAGACCTTCTCAGTGAAGCTCACTGCACTCAGCTGCACCTGTGGTATCTGTCAGTGCTTTAAATAGTATATCCTCTTTCCCCTTCCGGGTCTTTACCCAGCTATTACCTCTGTCCAGAAGGCTCCCTCTCTGAACTGCTTGGTGCACCAAACATTCATTTATTTATAGGTCCCATTTTAAAATCAGTTCCTTAGGGAAGCCTGCCTGATCTGTTAGACCAGGAGTATACAAATTTTTTGTTTAGAGTCAGATAATAAATATTTTAGGTTTACAGGCTATACAATATCTATCAAAACCACTTACCTCTGCCATTTAGCAGGAAATTGGCCATAGACAATATATGAAAGAATGAACATGACTATGTTCCAATAATACATTGTTTCTTCTTCTTTTTTTTTTTTTTTTTTTTTTTTTTGGTCTTTTTCCTTTTTATCAGTACCGGGATCGAACTCATGACTGCCTGCTTGCAAGGCAGGTGCTTATGCCGCTGAGCTAAATCTCCAGCCCCTAAGACATTGTTTCTAAAAACAGACTAAACACTGGAGTTTGCTACTTTTGCTGTAGACTAGCCTTGTTGTCTTGTTACATATTCTCACTGCATTCTGTACCAGTTTATAACATTCTTCACCATTATAATAACACATACAACTATTTAAGGTGTTTTTCACATCAGACTGTATTTCATGAAGGCTAGGATCATTTCAGCCGTGTTCAAAGCTGTACCCTCAATACGCAACACAAATCTGGCAAAAGTTCTCATTTGTTCAGTTAATAGGGACTGAACAAATGTCTTCAACACAAAGTGTTACGACTTCTATCTAGATGTTCCCCCAAAGCTTCATGTACTCATAGATAGAATTTTTCATAAGTAGTTGCATCTACAATATATGGTAACTAAACTGGTTTAGAATAGTTCTGGGTGTGGATAATGGGGAGCCCCACCCCGGGCATGGGTGGCATCACCCAAAAGGCTTGTAGCCTGGATGAGACAAAAGAAAAAGGTAGCTCGCTTTGCTTCGCTGCCTTCTATCTCCTTTGCCAAGAACTATTTCTCCTCTGCAATGCCGCTCTGCTGTCATCCTGTCTTGGATCCAGTCCACTATAAACGGAAACCTCTTAAAACTGTGAGCCAAAATAAACCCTTCCTCTTTCAACCTGTGGGATTTTTGTCCCAACAATGAGAAAAGTAACTAAGACACATAGTGAGTACAAACAAATTAGCAGTAAGGAAAACATTAAAATTCCAACAAAAAGATAACACTTTAAAACTACAATTTTTCCAAAGAGAAATTAGACCATCAAATAAATACTTAAAATGTTCAAACTAATAATCCTGCCTCCACTTTCCTTCCTATCTTTTTTTTTCCTTTTTTACCCCTAGGAAACTTAATTGTTTTGTTTTTTAATACACTCAACACTGGTTGATATAACAATTCTGAAAGCAAGTTGTCATTTTTATCAAGAGGTTGCTCTTGGCTCAATAGTACTACTTCTAGGAATTCAGTCTACAAAAAGGCAACAGGAAATTATGGCCCAAAGATATTTCCCAGTGTTATTCCTAATAATATGGAAAAGGAAATACTGTAAATGATCAGCAGCAAGGAAATGACTGAGTAGAAAATGGCAGATTACACCATTATTTTAAGCAACACATGAGAAACTTTAAGCACTTGATCAAACACTCAAAACACATGAAGTAAAAAATATCAGCTGTAGTAAGAGCTCAACAAACACAGGACGCCCACAACCACAGGTGGTTTTAGGGTGGCAGAATTATTAATGATTGAACTTTCTTGTTTAAAGTAGTCTCTACTCTTTAAAATTTATTTGAGCATGCACTAATTATGGAATCCAAGGAGAAGATGTTTAAAGAAGTGCAACTTTAAAGAATTATGCAGTCATTAAAATAATCATTTTGAAGAATGCACAAAACATGAAAACATTTTCTAACATGATAAAGAAAAGGTAAAGTTTTAAAAACGTTCCTTGCCAATATCACAACTATGTGGAATTGATATAATTTGAGGCAGTTACAAAGGATATGGTTGAAAATGGGGACATGAAAAGAAAAAATAACTGTTAAGGTATTTTGGTACAATCAATGAAAAAACAAATATTGTAGTTCAATGCTGAAGCTACATACTATTTTTTAACTACTTGGCTACTGTGTTAGTAGCAAATTATGAATTTAGCATTACATTCCTAGGAGAACAAAAGTGAAACTCACATCTCTCTCAAACAGAAGTCATTTACTGGCGTTCACATTCAAAAACTTTCCCACCTGCCGTGCTTAACTTAAATGACTTCATAAACAACTGTAGTTTCATTATGAGTTACAGATCTGATTCAGAAAGTCCCAGCATGGTTTTAAACAAAGACTGCCTTTTTTTCCAAACCATCAGATTTCACCCTAATGAAAGCAAATTATAAATTCTTGCCACTTACCTATTACAGACTTTGTACTAAGAATATTTCCCAGAGTGGTTTTCTATGCTTGAAAAATTTGAGAGGAAATAAAATTAATTCCTTAACAATACTTCCTTTGAGTAAAACATCTGTCAGCTAAGGAAATGGCGAAATACACCAAAACTTAACTGCAAAACCACAGATCACACTTCCAACATCCTACTTAAAGTAGTTATTAACCTGAGTATAGGTTTGACATCCAGAAATCTAGAAACATAAAATTTGACCAAACTACTGATGAATTGAATGGAATCTAAAATATAAACCACGATGTCTCACTGGTACCTTTTGTTGTTGTTCATCGTTAGCCATCAAAATTGTACTGTCAGCACTCAACAATCCCACCAGAGTTTGGAAGTAGGCCGACACTCTGTTCTTGCCAACCAAAATCAAAATAACCACTTTCTAAGGGCTTTAAACAAACATTCATATCACATACTCTGGCCACAGAACGACAGAAATGTCAGTAACTGTATTTTTTTTCTCTCTTCCTCACTACTGAAACAAAGAGCCCCTGTCTTGCATGTGGCTCCTGCCTTGACGAGCAGGAGCAGTATAAAAAGGAGTTCCTGCTTCTAAAACTGGTGGAGCGCAGGCCTGAGGAGGTGTCTCAGGATGCTATTTTGAAATGAAAAAGAAACAGCAAAATAACAAAACTTTTTTTAAAAGTACCAGAGGGCAGATCTGAAATGGACAATGTAAAGGTCTCACTATGACCTTTAAGGGAATACATGGGTCTTCTGAGCAGGAAATTATAACCATTAGTTATCAGTGTCACTTTGAGAGATGTTTTAAATAATCTAGATTTTAAAATAAACTTCTATTTTCTGAATAAGCTTCCTGTGAACAACATCAGTGCTCAGTTCATTAACTATTGGTGTTTTAAGCTAGTGATATTCTCTGTAACTCATCACAATCACAGGAGTTGATCAGTTATGCACACCTGGACATGACCAGGTCCTAAATACAGTCATCAAACTCCAAGTCATCAGACTTCCATACTGCCTCGCTAGGCTGAAATTGTACAGGAAGTTAGAAGGGAGGGAAGTAGAGGGAGAGAAGGAGGAAGAAGACAAAGGAAGGAGGGAAGAAGGAAGGAAGAAAACAGGAAAGAGGGAGCGAGGTGCCCAAAGGAGTCAGTAGTGCCCTACCAGTGGCATCACTCTGCAACTGAGTACTGTATACTGGAACAAATGAAACTGGATGGCATTGAAATAATGAGAATTAACACCATTTTCAAAGACAAAAACCTCTAGTATAAAAGTTATATTTTTTCTTGCCACTATTTATTATTAGTAGGCATTTCAGTAATACCCATTGCGATATCTGGCCACAATAAGTCCTCCAAATTTTTCTATCTAGAAGTTCAATCAATCACATTTTTCTGGCAGAGAGAATTTCCAATCTTTACTCGTTTCACTTTATATTGAAAAGATAAAAGCCCAAAGACAAAGATGATGGCCAACACCTGACTAAGGTAACAGAGCAAAAGGGAAGTTTTCTTCTAAGGTTCTCTCTCAAGACAAGCAAGAAATCAACCCCAGCTACCCAAAGATTCCCAAGTTAACGGCTTTTCGGCTTTCAGTGCTGCAAAAATCATGGAATCAGAGGAGGAAATTCGAGAAGACTTCTGGACTGGGCCGGTCCACAATGACTGAGCACCACTTATTAGCTTGCTAGATGCAAGAAGCATTATTGAATTTTGACGCATGTCCCAGAAAAAAAGCTACGGGGGTTGAGGGAGAATGGTTTGAGAGATACAGCTGGACAGCTCCCAGTGTCAGAAAGTTCTTCCCTTCAGCCTGCGTCTCTGCCTCTACACGCGCTCCAGTCAGGCCTTGAGCGCCACGGGGACAGCTACTCCCTCTTCACTCGGTGGCCCTTTGGATACGCGCAGACAGCTGTCCCTCACGCTTCAGTCATCTAGCCTTGCTTTCCCAAGTGCATTTGATATCCACTGTAAGGGGTTCTCTTCGCCTCCTGGCCAGCCCTCCGTAATTTACTCATCAGTGAAAAGAAAGCGCACGCACTTGCCCCACAAGTGGATTTGGGAGGATTTGAACCCAGGGCCTCTGAAAGCCCAGTGCAGAAACTTCGTGTCGCCCGCCCAGCCGCAGTCACCCGGGGGGGTGTCCTTGTCAGAACCCTACCCTGGAAGCCCCAAACCGCTGCATCCGCGATGGTCCCCGCCCCTGGGCGCGCCCCCAACCCTGGCTTCCATTACCTGCCGCTTGTTCATCTTTCTCAAGTCTCCAAAAATGTCCAGGCACGACGCGGGGAGATGCGACCCCATACTGCCCGCACGCACCATGTTGGTGTCTTTGGGGGCCCTGGCGGCCAGCCGGCTCCGGGTGTCACACACAAATGCGGAGCTCCAGATGCCCCGCCCACCTGCTCGCGTCCTGCTGAGCCACGTGACGCGAAGTTCACCTGGGCTTCTGGGAAGCGTAGTCCCATGAGTCTTGGGCCCACTCTGCCCGGAAAAAATCCAAGAGAAGGAAAACTACTCCTCCCACAATGCCCCGGAGCAACAGCCTCGGCCAGTGAAGACCCAGGTATCCTCGGCAGGGCAGCGAAGGGGCTCAGGATCCTAGTCCGAGGCTTCGGAGGGAACGTTGGGCAGTGAGTGATTCCGCACGTCTTAGGAACAATTAGGGGAAGCGACTTCTTAAGAGGAATGGAATTCCCAAGACTGTGTTCAGGCGCCAAAAGGGCACCTAAAGCTCACTCGCAGTCACCCAGCCGTGTATCTTGGCCATTGGATGGCTCCAGCAAAGGAAGGCGGGGCTTCTACCCTGAGGGCGGACGGTGCAGAAAAGGGGCGGAGCCTAGAATGAGGGCGGGACTTGGGGAGGCGGGAGTTTCAAAGCCATCGGGTTCCTGCTCTGAAAGTGTTATAGGATTTGATCCTGGGGAGAATCTCTGAATCTTCGTGACGTAGACGTGACAAAACTGATTTTAACTGAGTTGATTTTTTATTTATTCACAACCCTTTAAAAAATGCCTACTGTCCACCTGGTCCTGGGCTTGAGAAACATCGGTGAAAAAACAAGCAAAAGTTCGCGTCCTCATGAAGCTTTCATTTTACCAGGGGCAGATATGATGGGTAAATATATTTTAGAGTACATAAAAGGTGATGATGCTAAGAGAAAAAGGAAAATAGAAGCTGGGTGAGAAGCTCTGGAAGAAGAGAGCATGTTGCAATTTAAAATGTGCCAGAAACCGACTTGTGATGAAGCTAGTTAAAGGTAAGATTTTGAACGCTAGTGTGCAATAGCCTAGAAAAAGCATTGCCCTAGAGTTCTGTAAATTTTGCAAAGCAGGGCAGTAGATCCCCAACTTACAAACAAATTCTATTCCGGGAGAACATTCGTAAATTGAATTCTTTCATAAATCCACCAAGGTGAGTCATACTGTATTTGAATTATTATTGGCTAAGAGTTCTGTTTCCTTGCATTACAACTTCCTCTCCATCACACTTCTGTTATTAGGGGGACAAGGAACATTTTGGGAATCCAGCTAAAGAGAAACTGAACTGGGGATACATTTAGTTCGGATTGAGGATACATTAATGTGGCTCGTGGTCATTTCCTGCCATCTTGGCATAGGAATGATGTCTTCTAGGAAAGTTGTCACCCACTGCATGTCATGATGTCACCTAACATCACGACAGGAAGTTGCACTAGTAATAGTATTATCTGCTGTAAAGGTTCTACAGTACCCAGCCTCAGAAGTATTAGGTAGAAATGAAACAAAGTTTAAAATGCACAGATCTAGAAACTAGACTGTGTTCCAAGGGCAAGGTGGAGGCAGGGGCAGAATATCAGTATCCTCCCTCACCCTGACACATGGAAGACTGCTTTTCCTGCAACCTTCTCTCTGAAGAAGAAGCACAACATATATCACTTTTGAGTGTGTTACCTTAACAAGGGGTTCATGAAGCTGCCAATTTTAAGAGATGAGCGTAACACAAGAAAACGTTCGACAGCAAATCCAGCTCCTGTGCAAATTCCACACATTTAGATATCATAATGCAACAGGCATGATGGTAACTCAAAGTATTGCTGATGAGTATGACAGTTGTAGGAAGATTCTGGCAAGCACTAAGTGAGAAACAGCAAATTTTCTGGATTTCGGAAGAAATTCATTCCCTTTATCATAGATGACTGGAGTCTTTTTGAGTAACAGCTGTTTTGCCATTGGCCCTTAGACGTGCCTGAAAACCCAAGGGTGGGATCTCAGATAACCATGTGGCCCACACTTCCCCTCAGATACTGTTTTATGACTCATCTAGTCATTAGGATGGATGGAAGCAGCAGAAATTTATTACCACATGGAAATGGTATATCAGATGTATGTGTGAAGTGTGTGTGTGTACTGCTCAGGCCGATCCAGAAAAAATGAAAACTTGAATAAGCAGGTGACTCTAACTCTTTCAACACTATTGCATTCTCTCTTTCAATCCAAACCTTTACTCCCCTGCTGGAGACTACCTTATATGCAGTTATTTAGGACTTATCAATATATGGCCTATCTATATCTACCCTTCTTGGCCCTGCTTTGTGATAGAGAGCTTAACCTTGTGAACATTTCTCCTTTGCCAGCTGGCACATTGTTAGCTTTGTCTGAGGAGGGAACTCAAGGGACATTGGAGAAAGGAGAATCTTTTCCTGGTTTCCCTGTGCTTTTTACCCCCTTCAAACCTATTTTAGTTAGATGTCATTGGTGTCTAGGACTCCCTATCCTATAGCTCTAAATCTACTCTTCTTGGCCCTGGTTTGTGATACGGAACTGAACTTTGTGAACATTTCTTCTTTGCCATCTGGCGCATTGTTAAGCTGTCACAACTGCACAGGTCTCAAACTTCCTAAAGTGAGGACCATGAAGGGTGGTGAGAAGGTGAAGAAGTAAAGACAAGACGCAGAAAGCTGGGTCAGGTGGAGCTCTCTCTCCAGATGGGAGGAAAGGAATTGGTCAACCACTGCAGTGCACTTATTTATACACTCAGGAGGTTAATACTAATTTCAACCCCTCTGTTTTGCAACTATGTATGGCTCACATTGAGCTCTCTGTGTTCTCAGGGCTGGTCTTTAGCCCCACACATGTGATCAACCTCCAGCTTCAGCCACTCCCCACATTAAGCTTTCTCTATGGAGGGAACTTGAGGGACCTTGGAGAAGGGAGGGTCTTTTCCTGTGTTCTTTGTGCTTTTTTTTTCCCCTTCAAACTTATTTTATGTCACTGTCATTGGCATCTAGGATTACCTGTGCTATGCACTATCATGATGCAGTGGCATCCCAGAAACTGGCCACCATTGAGTTTTGTCAAAAACAAAATGGTTTCTCTGTGGCTCCTCAGTGGGTAGTTTCCTCTTGTCATCCCAGCCAGCCAGTTACACCTCAAGATCTTCTTTGCTATGTTGTGGGCTACAGCCACACCCGCTAAATCTAAATCTCAGCTATCAGGAAACCTCTCCACTTTTGATCTTTCCTTGAGTGATCTGCCTCAGTTCTATTAATAGTTTCTACTCTCTGTATCTGTTTTCAGTTCTTGTATCCTTTCATAGTAAATCCACAGTTACTAATTGCTGGATTTATTAAATTTTTCCATTTTGAAATTATTTTTGTAATGTATCTTTTGACTGAACCCTGACTAGTATAAATTATCAGGAGAGAAGCTGTCCCAATCACCAAACACACTATCTGGCTCAATAAGATGTATTGTTGCTGTTGCTGTTTAAATTACAGAAGTAACACATAAGTATAAGCAGAAGTAACATATAAGCATAACTAACACATAAGTGGTCCCTCTGAAAGCTCAAATTACACACAAATGAAATCTCCCTTCATCCCACTCAATTCTCAGTACAATCCCAGTCACTTCTTATTTGGGACTTGACATCCCTTAGCCTCTCTCCTGAAATTAATTTGCTTCAAGTTTTTTTAATTTTGAAACAATATCTCAGTGACATGTGTTTATATGAGTATGTGCTTGGGTGTGTAACTATATACATTGGTGGTTTTGTACCATAAAATTCATTGAAACGGATTTAGTGAGCCAAAGAGCATGAACATTTAAAACTTAGATGTTCCTCCAGATACATTAAATTAATTTCTAATCCTATACAGTAGAGATTTGATATCACAAGATGTCAAAATTAAAAAGGACCATAAATATCACACAATTAGAACTTTTTATCTTGGTGGTAAACTTAAGGTTCTGAGAGATAAATGAATTTTTGATGTCATAAGCCAAACCCATGTAACACAATCAGCCAAGAAAAACTTAAATTGTTGGGCTAGGCTTGAAGGAATTACATTTAAAATAATGCTTAGATTCTTGAGTCCTACTGAATCAATGGAGTGGAGAACTGAGATCATTCTTCATATAACACTTCTAATAGTACTGCATTTCAAACAAAATAATCTATGTGTTTCAGACCTGGTGACTTTGCAGCGTGTCACCTAGTTATTGGCCAACTTCAAAGAAATTTAGAATCCATGTGGGTCAAGTTTATACCCACAGCTGGCATCTCCTCTGGAAGCTTAGACAATTATGAAGTCCCTATTTAAATGCTTTTTAACAGTTCCAAAATTTTCTAGTGAAAATAGACCTACGGTTGATCACTTATCAAAAACTATGCTAGACACTGTTCAGATTGTACCTCCTAGGCCTTTAAAAACAGGGAAAGAGTCCAGGGATATAGCTCAGTGGCACAAGCACCTTCCTGGAAAGTACAAAGTTCTAAGTTCAACTCCCAGTACAAATAAATAAATCAAACAAAGAAAGACGCCCATTTGAGGAAGGCAATGAAATACCAGCAGTGATGCTCAGCCACCCGTCTTCAGCCTGATACACCTGTGCACAGGGCAGAATACACTCAGTAAAATGGCTGGGACAGATGTGCTATTGAATACCCTCTAGCACCAATTTTTATTGCTGCTGGGCCTCCACATGTGTTGGCTCAGTTTGTCCTTAGAAAGGCAATCCTTAAAGTCAAGGATACCATAAATACTTAAGGATCCTAAAAATACCATAAAACACTAGATGAGTCTCTACCCCACCCTGTGCTGAGGTTCAGATTCTCTCAGGTTCTGTTCTGTGTTCCCAGCTCCTCATTTCTCTATCTCTAAGAGTGCTGTAAAGCAGGCTCGAATGCAAGGTCTTCACTTTGTGGGTCCATTTCCTGCAAAGATCTTTGAAAATGAGCACAATTGAATCTGAATAGCTGAGGAGAACTAGTTTATCTACTTAGGAGTCAACAATCCCTCTGACTGGTAGTGTAGCTCAATCATATAGACAGCCCAGTACGACAAAAAAAAATCTTGTATTTTTATAGATCTTGAGAGTATTTGACTTACCTATTTTAAACCAAGGTATAATATTTCTTTACTTTTCTTTTTCCATGCAGAAAAATAAAC